AGCAGAGCAGCCCTCACATGAGCCTCCTCCAGAGAAAAATCATTTCCCAGAAAGCCACTGGGACTGGTCTTTGGCTGGTCCCTCGTGGGAAGTCCCTGTTGGTAGGGAGTGGGTGGAATTCAGAAGGGGGGGGGGCAGGGGGCAGCTAGCTAGGTCCTCCTCCACAGTGGAGCCCCTGGACTGGGTGCCCCTCCTGGGCACTACCCTTCACTCTGCTATTCCTTGGCTGGCCCTGAGCTACACTCCCAACCACCAAGAGCTCGGCTGTGGGGTCATTAGGTGAGGCTCAGGTCCTCACACACAGCAGGAAGGGCCACACCTGCCACCCACTGGCCACCTCCCTGGATCCCCATCGTCAAGGTCTCTCAGTACACAGGGAGCCTGAGGGCTCAGGAAGCACCCATGCTGCCCAGCTGTCTCCCCCACCACTCTCTTAGCTTAGTAGACAGCACTGTTTCACAACCAGTTTTAGAAAATGGTTTTATCAAAACTAAACTTAGTGCCCAATCAGTTGAATAAATAGGAAGGGGCTCAGTGGGCCAGGAGGAAGCGCTTTCGGACAGTGCGCTCCATGCCAGGCAGCCTGGCTGTGTGCAGAGCTTGCAACAGTCCCTCCACAAATGCCCCTGGTCGTGCCTCACGGAACTTGGTGAGCTGCCGTGACAGCTTCTGCTGCAAGGACATGCGGTCCTCCCATGGCCGTGGTGGACTCCATACCCCCGCGCCCGCCAGGGCCTGCTGCAGTTGCAGGAGCCTCCTGAAAGAGACGTTCTGGAAAGCCACGAAGTCCACGAGAGCACGCTCACACTCCTCAGTCTCTGCAGGAGGGTCAGGGTGAGATGAGGGCTCAGCCAGGTCCTGGGCAAGGGCTCCCATAGACACAGCCCCTCCCCACGCCCCAAGAGGCCATCAAACAGTAGGACACCCTGCATTAACACCTGAGGAGAGGGACCTGCTGGGACTTCAAGCCAGGAGGGCGGGGTGAGAGAGGCCAGCCCCAGGATGTGGGGCAGGGCTTGTGGGCCTTGGCCTGGGGTGAGATGGGACACCACTGCTGTGACCTAGGGCAAACTGCTTAAACTCTGGGCCTCAGTTTCCCAATGGCAAGGGTGGGGATCACCAGCGCTGAAGCTCTCAGCACAGTGCACTCAATGGTGCCACTGCCACTATTCAGGGCTTCTTGGGGCTTGGGACCCTGACCCCACAAAGCTGGAGGCACTTCCCAGAGGTCTGCTAAATCCTCAGGGCTCTAGGGCTGGACTGGGGGCAGGGCACAGGCTGAGCTTGCCACCCCACTGGCCAATCCCCCCTCACCTGGCCCCCTAGCTCACCTGCCCCCCTCCAGTCACCTGGACCCCCTGGCTCTCGTGTGCTGAGTGGGGAGCCCATGCAGCTGGTACACATGGCGTCGTGAAAGGGGGTGCCTGGCACGTTGAGGGCCAGGCCCAGGGCCGTGCAGTTGCGGTGGGGTTGGCACTGCTCTGAGCTGGAGCTGTTGGCTGAGAAGGTGCCCGGGGGACATTGCTGGCACTGCGTGTCCTGGGTGGGAGTTCCTGGGGATGAGATGGGAGGGTCAAGGGGAGCTGGAGCGTCCTCGCTTACAGGAGTCCTGGCCCAGCTCCGCCCACAGAGCGACCGGCACCCACCGAGGGCCACCACACCGTAGCCAGGCGGGCAGGGCGCATGTTCCAGGCAGAAGCCCGCAAGCTCGAAGAAGCCGGGGCGGCAGCGGCAGGCACGGTTGTGGATGACGGAGCAGGGCCGCACCTCCTCCTCCTGCTCCCCGCAGATGACGTTGCAGTAACGGCAGCGCTCCAGGTAGTTCCAGAACTGCGTGTAGTGGTGTGGCGGGCACAGGCGGCACGTTGTGGGGCGGTCCCGGCTGCACGGAAGGTGGACAAAGGTGCCCGGGGGGCACTGGGTGCACGTGAGCCACTCCTGCGTGTCCACATCCCACCATGGGTAGGTGGGCACATCCTCTGCCACCCCATGCATGGCCAGCACCAGCAATAGGAACGGCAGTCCCTGGGACGGGAGCAGGGGTGGCCTCGCTGGCGCCTTCATGACCGTCCCTGGAGTGTGGCAGCAGTGCTCGGCTGGGACACCGGCCCCAACACAGTCCACCTCCACCCGTCCCAGGGAGCAGGCCCCGCCCACCCTACCTGCAGCCAACCGGAGGACTCCAGCTCTGGCCCAGCACCTCCTGTATGGGCCCGCCTCGCCTCACCCCGGGGAGGGGCCAGCGACTTCCCGAAGGCCGAGTTCTGACCCAGTTTTGGACAGTGTCACAGCCCCCCTGGCCCAGCCCTCCCAAGCCTAGTGCTGGGGGCAGTCCTGTGAGGGCCCTCCCATCCCCAGGGACAGCTTGCGACTCAGTGACCAGGACTGTCAACAGGGTGGGTGGGGGAGGGGTCCAGGCTCCTCTGCCCTCTGATGTCCCTGTCTTCCTGTCCAGCTGCCAGGATGGAGGCTGAGCTGTTTGCACGTGCTCAGGGTGCCCTTTTGTGGGACAGGGTAGGAGGGGGACCCTTTGCAGACATCCCCACTCTTCCTTTCTGGCGCCTCAAACCCACCACCAAGCCCAGGCTCGTGAACAGCATCCCAGTGGGGCCAGCAGCTTTATTAGAGCTTTCACCCGCCCACTGCCCAGGCACAGGTCCCAGAGGGGAGCAGGTGATACCCCCTTTCCAGGCGCGGGCTCAGCTGCCAACCCCTGAGGCTCCACCCACAAGTCAGCAGCCAGGGGAAGTTCTGAGGAAGCACCTTCTGGCTGACCCACCCCACCCCCACCCCACAGTGGCTTCAGGGCTTCTCCCAGGCAGTCCAAGACCCAGCTTCTGTCTCAGGGGTGTCCCTGTGTGCAATGGACCGGCCCTCCTTGACAGGTGGGCTCTTGGCCAAGGGGTTGCTGGTGCTGGGCCTGCCCACCCCGAGCCAACAGTCAGGTGTCTAAGCTGCATTCAGGGAGGGTGTGGCCTCAGCCTCGGGGGCCCTGCAGTGCCCAGAAGAGTCTCCAGAAGACCTGTAAAGACACAGAGGATGCTGGACATGCCTGCCGGGTACCGCTGACCACCCCACCCCAGGGGGGGATGCCCAGCAGCCATGTCCCTGAGGTCTGGTTGAGACCTAGAGGTCCTGTTGCCAGAAGGCCTGGCACAGTTCAAGGTGGAGGAGGGACACAGAGGTGGATGCTTTCCTCTGCCTTGCAGCTGGGCACACCAGGCCTGCTGCCCAACAGTCCCTGCAGCCCCTCCCACAAGACCTACCACACTCAGATTGTGTCTCTCTGTGGGGGAGGCTGGGGGTCAGGCCGCTGTCTGAGGAAGGGGGAGATCTTGCTCTGGGTCCTCCCTGGTCTCTCCAGCTCAGAGGGCCCTGGACATAGAGGAGTGAGTCCAAGGGGCTCCTGGCACATCCCTGCTGCCCATTTCTTCCAGGGCCGATTGGGGCTCTGGTGACAGGGTGGGGGCAGTAGGAGCACCAGGCAGATCACCCTACCTGGGCAGGGAGACCTGGGGTTGAGGTCAGGAGGCACCTTGGAGCTCCCCTCCTGGGGTCCTGGTGGCTCAGTGCCTGCACCCAGGGTGGGCCAGCCAGTCAGGTCTGCACACATCTGCCGGAAGCGCAGCTTGTGGTGTGGGCGCACAAACATGCTGAACCCTGTGGGAAGTGGTGCTCAGGACCTGCCCCCTCCTCCCACACCCCCCACCCAAGTCCCTTCCTCAGAAACTTGCTCTGCAGCAGAGGCAAGTCCTCGGGCCTCGAGGTGGTCAGTGATGCTACCACGGCCACCATCTTCTCAAAGTCGTCATCACGTTTGTAGGTGGTCAGTGCTGCTAGGAGTTGGCTGCATCCTGCAGATCCCAGGGCCCTGCGGGCATCGGCCAGGTAGGTGCTCACAGCAGGCTGGCCAGGCTTCTCTGCTTGAGGGTTGCTACACCCCTCTTGCAAACAGCCGCCACTGTCTCCTGGTGGGGAGGTGACACGGACCACGTTGGGGGCCCAGGAGCACCTTACCACCACCACCTCCCTCGTTGGGGTATAGAACCAGAGCAGCCCCCAGGAAACTCCTCCCCTTCCAAGGTCTTCAGCTCTGCTCCTGACTCTGGGCAGAAGCCTCTTCATGGACCAGGTACCTTTGGGTACTGGCCTGGAGGCCAGGTGAGGCTGGCCCTGGTTCAAGTGGTCTCCAGGGTCCAGCTGCCTGGCCGCACCCTGGGAAAGGGTCATCTTGGGGACAGGCTCTCTCATTCCTGAAGAAACATGGAGATACAGGAGTCACCTAGCTGGTCCCAGGGGGTCCAGAGTGCTCCCTAGGGAGGAGGCAGGTCTGTCCAAAGGGAGACTAAGCTCACAACCCTCCTTGGACCCGACTTGCACAGCCCCATGGACAGCCAATTGCTTGGAGGAGCAGGTGCAAGGACACCCCAGTGGCACCAAACCCAGAAGGGGGAGAGGTGACTCCCTGTCTGGAAAGTCCCCTCCTCAGGGCAGTGGGAGGCGTTCCAAAGCCAGGCCCTCTGTGACACCTGTCCTTGAGGAAGTCCCTGCCCAGGGTGGGCTGTGTATGAACAGGGACAAGCTTCCCAGCTCTGGGGATGCAGGGCCTACTCTTGGGGGGGGGGGGG